AGAGAGAGAGAGAGGATGGAGAAGGCCAAGCTTGTGTTCTTGCCGGTCGCAGTCGCCGGGCACCTTCTCTCCAAGCTGGAGTTGGCCCAACTTTTCCTCGGTCATCACCTTGGAGCTGCCGAGAATCCCTTCTCCATCACCGGCCTCTGTGTCTGTCCCCGCTCTGTCGTGGCCGCTGGACTCCGCCACCCCCGTCCTGCTCTGATCCTCGACTTATTTGCCACCGCCACAATGGAGGGGTCGGAGAGGGGACCGACGTGCCCGATGGAGGATGGGACAGGGTGAGGGCAAAGGCAAAGGGGATGACGCTGGCCGGCGGGAAGGCAATGGAGGACGGTGACTCTTCCTTTGTTCAAGTAGAAAGACAAGTGAAGGAAGAGGAATTATGCCGCCGCATCAATTTTTGATCTCGGATTCTTGGAATAGAACTCTCAATATAAAACAACAAACATTAAAAGACAACTGCACCGTTTCCAAGTAGAAGTAAAACAACAAACGACGAAACAATATCACGGTATGGAGCCACATACACAGGATTTGAAGCAAAAGCAAATGCTCGTCAAGTGCTCAAATGCTAATGTAAACTGACAATATACACACTTCAACAAAGTCGTCCATAATGGTATCTACATTTACTTTAAACTAACTACGAGATGGTGCATTTTCTGGACCTAATACGAGAGAGAAATCTGACATCAGTTGTTGGTTCGCAAGAAAGCCATAGCATGACAGAAGAGAGAGAGCATGCTTTCATGGGGAATGCAGTATCTCATCTGATACGCAAACGCTTGTGCGTGTGAAGTTTCCGGCGTCACTCGTCTGAATCCTCCCACCTTGGTCTGCTTGCCTGCAGCGGCTTCAGCCGTTCTCCCTGGGTCTCCGAAGTAGTATTCTTCCGGCGCCGCTCGTTGTGGCCAGCCAAACGCCGGCGACAACTCCTCTTGGAGTCATCGAACTCTGATAACTCATGGAATCTGCCGTAGACAAAGAGAATTATGCACCGGACACTAAACATAGCTCAAAATGCTGCTGAATACAGAAAAAGAAGAAAACACCCTTCTTTGTGTACGACGAATCGAGTATTAATTCTCGAGCTCATGTTTATCTGATCCGTAACTACATCTCATCTTGTGACTCCGCTACTTATTTCCAGATACATGTATTAGTACATGTACTTCAAAGACATTTATGTTCGATCGAAAAAGTAAACAAAGATTCAAGCAGGCCTAACTAGCCAAAGTCATGCATTTGAAGAACTGCAAGAAACAATCAGATTTGCGTGTGCAAAGAACATCTGATCAATACCAAGTTCTTCACACAAGTGGTGGACTATCTAAAAGGACATGTCATGTCGCGAAATCCAGTTAGGATCTATATGAACAACATTTGTCCAAAGGATGTCAGTATTTCAAGATGCGTGTGCACTCTCTCTATTAGACTATGCTTCTCTTCATCTGCCTCATTTAATAATTAAATTTTAAAATTGAGTTTGTACTAAATAATTATATAGCAGAGGCACAAGAACAAGGAATTCATGGCATCGACAATAAAGAGTCGACGGTTCTATGACAACAACAGGAAGAGCTAAAGTAAACGAGACTCAGAAAAGCTTCTCATCAAACTTGGCCTCCGGAACCAGGCGAAAGGTCATGAATCATAAAGGCAATCCTTTTCATATTGCGAAGATTAATCCTTCGTATCATTGTAACTTTGGACACGAGCATGTAAGGGAGTAGAGGCAGAGGATGGAACAGGGGCAACCTGCTGCATTGCTGGCAGAACCTCTGTCGCAGGCCGGCGACGATGACCACGGCGGCCTTGGAGTGCGCCTCGCAGACCTTATGCCGTCGGTAGTATCGCTTCGCCTCCGCCAGATCGGCCGTGCACTTCTCGGCCTGGCAGCAAGGAGGAGACGCGCCCCCGCTGCCACCGCCGCCGCCCGATCCCCTCTTCGACGCGGCAGAAGAGCATGGCCTCCGCTTCTTGTCCTCCCCAATCCTCCCACCGGGGGCCACCTCCTCGCCTTCCTCGTCCCCGTCCCCCTGCACCTCCTTCTTCGCCTTCTCCCTCCCGCTTTTCTTCTGCGGGTCTGCCGACGGCCGTCGGTGCTCCATGGATGGTCGAGAGAGCGATATTTGTGTCCGTGCGTGCGGGAGTGTGGTTGTGTGTGCCTAGAGAGGAGGAAAAGTGGAGAGGAAGGAGAAGAGAAGGTGTGTGTTGGGTTTGTGAGGACCACTACAAGTGAGAGGAGTAGAGCCTTATTTTGCCTGCTCATTTTTTGTTGTTGCTTTGACTTGGGAAGACTTTCATTTGCGGGAGACAAGAGGTTAAGAATAAATGGTAGAAAGCAAGAGAAACCACACACAAAATCGAATAGCTTCACAAGATTATATGTGCTGCCATCACAAGCCTTAATGTGTAACTTCTCCTGCATCTAAAGAGTAGAAGAGAAACAAGTCCAAACATCGTGTGCAGATGATGCCTTCAGTCGAAGCTTTTTTTCTTTTTCTCGAGTGGGTGCGACTGCGCGGCCATGGTGCGGTGGGTGCCACAAGAGAAGAGAAGCCTGACAGAGACGACTTTAAGGTGAGGCAGTGTACCATCGACGCCACCTTCGCCAGTGCACGCTCGACACGCACCCTCCTCTTTTATCGTACGCGTACCCACTCCCATGACATGATGACGCGCTTTTAGCTTTCTTCCCTCCCTCTCCTTGATCGCTTCATTTCAACTTTTGCCACCCCACATGCACTTCTCACTGCTCTGTTCTTCCATTTACCAAAGCGAAGGGGGAGGGGGGAGCCAACGTTGGTTTCTTTCGGTTTTCTTCAGGGGGCTCGATGCAATGGCCGAGGGAATCCATCCATGGGCGCAGAACACTCCCATGGACGCCGGCCCGGGTTACAACTGATCTCTGTTTCCTCTGTTTCTGTGACACCTTGTTTGCCTTGTTCATCGTACCGCCCCTGCACGCTAACGACGACACCCTGACAGCTGCACTCCACGTGATCCAAGGAACACAGAGGAGGACAATGACACAGAGATGAACCGAGAGGGTACAGCGAGCAGAGATCACCCGTGATCGTGTCTTTTGTTTACTGTCGGTGCCCAGAAACGACAACAGTCTCCGCCATAGAGCAGAGATGCCCACCTCCGAGTCTAGACTGGACCTTTTACAGCCCGCCCAGCAGGGGAGAAGGTTAAGATTTAATACGACTCGTATGACATAAAATAGCATCCCTGTGGCTAATTCTCGTGCTCATTGGAGTGACATCGATTTGGCTACATGATCTTAATGTAGCGAGAAGAATACACTGTCTGTGTAGGTAATCCCAGTGGAACTGCTCGGGCGTTGTCGTGTCGCTAATGGTTGGTCAACAGGCGGGGGGCCCCATCGGTAGCAGAGATCCTATTCGAGTACCAACGTGGGGCCCAAGTCAGCCTTCACGAATACGCATCTGACATTAAGATTGCTTCCATCATGCCTGCCCATTAGGAAATATAACATGATTCGGTCCTTTCTTACCATCTGATCATTCATCTAACCTAATCGAATTTGATAAAATTAAGCAAATGATTGAAATGAGATGTACGCTTACGAAGATACCCCGCGAGACGATATTTGTCCGGACCCAAGTCTTCTTGACTTAAGTTGGGGCCAGACACTGTGCTTTTCCATCGTGCACATTTCGTAGAGTCGCCAGGATCGTGACGGATGACGTCTGCAGATTCTACGGCTGAGTAGACGCGTACTGTCTCGGTGCACCAGTAAGACTTTTTCGAGTCGCCTACGGTGGGGCCGACACCGTTATATATATATATATATATATATATATATATATATATATATATATATATATATATGTATATAGTTAAGAAAAAATATTATTGATGCTTTGGTTAGTCCGACGTGATATAGATCTAAAGAGTAGCTTCTGACAAAAAAAAAAAAATACTGTGCTTCCGAGTTGACTATGAGATGGATCCAAGATGAAAGTATTGTCCTCGAAAATAATATGTTTCCAAGATAGAAGTAATATACTCTCGAGATGTCATGCACGAAGATCGAGTGAGATTTTTTGACCTAGTCTATTTAATGCTCGAGTTAATAAACTGGGATTCCCAAATATGAGATAAAAGTAGTTCTACTCAAGAAGTTATCTTTTTCCTTCTTTAGGATAATATAAGAGAAGAAAGTTTGTGATAATACAAGAGAAGAACAAAGGTAGGAGTCTTCCATAGAGCCGCTGCTAGTTGGTCTCTCATCCAAGATGCAAACAAAAGCAACATGTTGTACCATATCATAATCGAGAACCTCCTTCGAGGCATGATCTCATGTGTCGTCATGCCCATCGGCAGCCTACCGATCCGACCATCACGTGTGGCTTCAACAAATGTCAAGCCAATAAGGTTGGCATATCCGGCAACGATCATCTTGCGCTAGAGGAGTACACGATCCCTTAGCTACCGACCGCCTTGAGATTTGTCATCATTGAGATCTCGCCGAGTCACCACTCATCGAACGACCTCCAGGTCGAAGTCATCAGCCTCCGAGATTAAGCAGTGTAATCCTTTTGCCTTTGTATCGAACCTTTAACCCAAACTTGGTAATCCAACTGGAAAAAAAAGAAAACACACTTTGATACGAAGAATCCAAAAACATAACCAAGACTTAACAATCATACATCATAAGATAAAAGAGATCCATAAGATGAAACAAGAAAAAATTTGACAAAGATGAAGAGGGGTTCAAACCCAAGAGTCTCGAGATGCTGATGGAGAACAACTAGAGGAAGCGAAGGAGGCAGTGATCAAATGATGAGGGGGGAGAGAGAGAGATCATATCTTCCTCGATTGATGTCTTAGTAGTAGATGAGAGAGAGAGAGAGAGATGTCAAATAGTGATGATGCTGCAAATAAAAAAAAAAAGTTAGTGAGGGAAAGCCGAAGGAGCAGATAATCGGCCTCACTTACCACCATTTTGTTCCAAAAACAAGTGTCAATAAGGACATGGGGAATTATAGAGCTATTTCACTATACCCAGACACAAAGACCCATGGTAGTACTTCTTCGCTGCTAAGCCTTCGCCCCACACCTTCTATATCTCCCTCAAACCTTCCTATCGGGGCTATAATGGTGTCTCCAGGATTAGGTTTGGTAGATCAGCCATTTGCAAGGTCGTGAAGGGCATGGACCTTCCCCTACACAAGTCTAAGATCAACCTTGACCTGCTCCCTTTCTTTCCCAAGCTTGGTCTAGAGCTTCGACCTTCTACAGGGATTGGCACTAATATTGGCAAACACTTAGATTCTTGAATCGAACCTCCGAGTGTAACATCCCTTTAAGGGCACACAATCCTCTTTGCTAGGACCTTACACCTTTTCTTTGGTTAGTCATTGCCACCATGATGATCAGACCAAGGTGGATCCAACTCCTCTAACAATGGCTTGTAGGTGGCTGTCGGGATTGATCGAGGCTTGGTAGCCTCCGATGAAGAGTCAAGTTCCTTCCTTTTTAGGGTATGTAGTTTCTTGCCTGTAAAAAGGACCCAATCATAAGACTAAAGATTAAAATGAAAAATCGAGCAAAGAAATAAGAAGTTTGGGTTATACCTCGAGGAGCCAGGCTAAGGCCCATATTGATTAGCTAATTATTTATCTTTTAGACTGCCTCGTAGGAAGAAAGTATATCCCTCATACAAAGCACTTTACCTGCCTCCTCGTCCAATAAAAAGGGAAGGATGTTATCAATACTACATGCTAACCAAGTAAGCCTAAAATCCCAATCAAGACTTGACCTCACAAAAAAGAAGCGCTCCTTCCAACCCTTGTTATTGGAAAGGGGCACCTGTGACCTTGAAACCTCCCCAAGCAGATAGGTAGTAGCCACTACCCCTCATACACAATTGGACAAGTAGTAAAGAGGGTACAAGTTAGGATAATATCAGTACATCGGTATTCCCTAATGAATACTATCAGATAACAGCATGAGCTAAGCATCATTTGGGAAGGTGATATTCCCCACCATTGAAGGTAGAACACTATCATTAGATGGAAAGAAAGTTGAAGGCCTACCTTAAGAGTATCACAAGACAAGCAAATAGACCCAAGAATAGAATCAAACAAACATTGACTCGGTCAAGAAACTTGCAAGACAAACTTAGACGAGATGAAATATCTAGCCTCAAGTGATCCAAAAGATGTGTGCTCGCCACTAAATCGCAAGAACGAAAACTTCTCATGAACTCCAAATCCCCGAAAGCCCTTAAGTCAGCCAGAGAAACCCCTTTTGACGAAGACAACCTAACTGTCTCCACCCTCGAACTACCTGAAGATTGAGCACGAACCTCGATCGACTGATGACTAGAAGAACATGAAGAACTTATATTAGAAATGAGAGTTATCCCGACCTAAAACAGAAGAGCAAGATCGATGCCATAACAATGGACTCGAAGATCGATCGAGACAAAGGGGAGATGCTCCTAAACCTTGGGGATGAAGCCGAAAGCTCCTAAGATTCTGAACTCTAAACTCTCAAGGCACAAATGAAGGTAGGAGTCCCACCCTATGAGAAGAGGAGCTTTATAAGGAAGAGACTGATCTCTCTCCTCCCGCAATTAAACGTGGTGTCTCTTCGAAAACACATCCCAAGAAAGGAGAGTCTAAGACCCACCATGAAGGAGAGAGAACTAAGTAATCCGCCATGGTGGAGAGAAGGTATGAAACATGCCACGTCGGAAAAACTTGAAATCAGTCATGATGGAGAGGGGACTTGAAATCCACCACAACGGAAGAGTGATTTGAAACCCGCCATGACGTAAGAGAGATTTGAAACCTGCCACAGCAAGAAAGTCTAAAAACTACCACAGTGGAGAGATGACATAGCAAATCTGCTATCGTGAAGAGAATGTCGAAACCCGCTATGATGGAAAAACTTTAAATCTAGCATGGTGGAAGGGAGATTTGAAATTCGCTATGACGGAAGGGAGATTTAAAGCTTACTATGACGAGAAGACCCAAAATCCATAACAACAAAGAGGAGATTTAAAATCCACCATGGCAGAGGGATGAAATAAATTCACTACGATAGAGGCATAAGGTCAAATGCACTCGAGATATATGAGTCGGGAAAACCCAGTCGACACCAAAGTAAATTCGCTACGATAGAAGTGTGAGACCAAATGTGCCCGAGATATGTGAGTCAAGATAAACCCGATCAACACTGAAATAAATTTGCTACGACAAAGGCATAAGGCTGAATGCGATCAAGACGTGTGAGTTGGGGAAACCTGATCCGTACTGAAATAAATTTACTACGGTAGAAGCACAAGGCCAAATACGCTCAAGACAAGAAAACCTGATCAGCACTGAAGTAAATTCACTATAATAGAAAGCGCAAGGCCGAACTCAAGTTAATAAGTCCAAAAA